TGATTTTTGTGGTGGTGATTTTGGTCCATTATACGGGGTTCGTTACAATTTTGAGCCCTATACATAACTGATAAAATACTATAATCTACCAAATCATGGAACTTCAATAACTTCAGTTGATAAAATAATGTGCTTGATGGGTGACAGTAATGCTTTCTGGTGATGATTCTTACAGCTCTTTTCTGTAAAATAAAAATAGGCTTTGTAAATGTTTTACACGCTTTCCCCCAAACATCAATGCAATAGATTAAATGTGGAACAATGATTGTGTTATACAACATGTACAGAGCTTTATCATTTAATAATTCCCTGACTCAATCCAAGGAGTTGGATTGTGGAATGATCTAGAGAATGATGTGAAAAATGCCAAGTCAATGTGTACATTTAAGAAAAAGATCAAAGCTGGATTGTTAAAAAAGTATATATGAAGTAGCTTAGTGTGTGTTTTGTATTAGAATTAGAAAAATTAGAAAGAGTTATTCATTTTGTTCTGTTACTTGAAGATTATTATGATTGAAATAATTGTTTGAAAAAAGGGGCAGATATAATAAGATTTTTTCTTCTTTCTGCTGCCTTTCATTTTAAATCTTTTGTATCTTTTTTTATATTGTTATGGAATTGTTTTGTACTTTTTTAAAATGAAAAAACTTTATACCATACCATACCACTTTCCTGGTCCAAAATGGCCAAATTTATGAGAATTTCACTTCACTAATCCGTGTTATGAGCCTTCCTCAAGGTTGATCCCAACATGCTGGCGAGTCCTAGAAGACGCAGGAGGCATGCAATTCTTACAAATCGCCTCATTTTATGTTTTAGCTCATAAATCAGCTGATTTTGAGTACTCACAGGACAAACCAAACCCTCACATTGACTCGGAAGCTCCCAGGTGTGATGGGTTAAATGCAGAGAGCCCATTTCGTTGTTGTATGGGAACATACAATGATGACAACACATAGCACTTTATTATTATTATACAAGAGTCTCTCCTGTTTAACATTATTAGTAATCAGTGTGTTCTCATACTAATCATACGTCCTTCCCCACAGATCTCTGGTTCCTGTTTCATCCTTTTTTGTAAAAAAAAACAAAAAAAACCTTACTTTTTTAATCTCTCGATGTCTTTGAAATGTTTTCATTTTTGGATATTCTATTCTGAATCTAGAATTAAGTATCTTTTTGTGACAAGATGTCACAGAGGTTCCTTCAATGGACTCACAGTTTGTTGTCTGTTTGCAGGAATCTGGTGTGCCAGTCAGTCACTTCCACGATGAAAACCTTTTATTGACAGTCACTAACTTGTTTATTGCTGGTACTGAGACAACATCCAGCACACTGAGATGGGGACTTTTTTTCATGGCCAAATATGCAACGATACAAGGTTAAAGAACCTGATTCATTCAACATGTCACTGTTAAAAAGAGGAGGAAAAACACAAGTCTGTCACCCAGAATGTGTTTATATGAGTGTGTTGTATATACTTCATATACACACACACACATATTAAACCTGGTATCGTTGCATATTTGGCCATGAAAAAAAGTCCCCATCTCAGTG